GTAGTAGTAGTAGTAGTAGTAGTAGTAGTAGTAGTAGTAGTAGTAGTAGTAGTAGTATCATCATCACCATCATTATTGAGTGTAATGATTCAACATGTAAAACCGAGAGTCTACGAGTGTCTAATACATACTGGTTTTGTTGATGAGAGTGTTGTTGTGGAAATTAACAACTCAGGCAGCAGGGATGGTATTGATTTGTACAGAAACATGGAATTTACCAGATCTGTTTGCTATCATAATTCTCTGCTTGACGTGGGCTGGTAAGGGTGCAAACGCACTGGCTTCACGTTCCCCACGTTTTCAATTCTCCGTTTTGGGGAGGGAACGTTTGAGTTGATTACACAAACGTACTGTACTGACTTCACATTCCTTTCTCCTTCGTGATTTAAAAAAAAAAAACGATAAAACTTTAATTTCTACTTTCCACTCCAACTTCTTTACAATGTCTACCCACTGCTTGTTGACGTAATTTCTGTTTGAGCAATTGTCTAGTGATTTATCAAAAAGTGCAGGTCACTTCTACACCGCTGCAATTAGTGCTTCTTCCATCTTGTCCGCTCAAGTTCTGAATCAAGTGTCTCAATATATACTTGATCTATATAGAGCCTACAAAAAGAAAGAAGTGAACAACCCAAAAAGTCAAAACATGTAGGTCGAGGTCAGCATGTCTACAATTAATTTTTAATTGTCTATATTGCAAAAATCGGCTTAAAAGTTAAAATCTCGCGCGCTACTAGGTAATTTTCATGGCAGAATCCAAATCTGAAGTCAAAATTACAGTTTAATACAATTTTGACTAAAAATTAATTGCAGCTTTCTAGATCGCCATCGTGACTGTGGTATGTTTAGAATTTCCGCGCAAAGACCGCAGAATGACGATTTGCAGAGAGCAATGTTACTGCAGCGGTAAAATCAAAATCGTGAAGGGCGGGCCGTGAAAGTGTCGGGATGAGATGTGAAGTCAGTGCGACGCCGGATATGATATAGGTTAAAGAAGGCTTCGGTCACTTTTGCAAGTTGGGTGACGGTAACAACGTGAAAACGTGGGGAACGTGAAGCCAGTGCATTTGCAGCCTTAGGTGTGTGTTGATTGAAAGCTTATACTACTGGAATAAAGGAAACACAAGAAGCAAAGCGAACATGACACAGGATTGATGGATGAATCGGAATACCTGAGGGATTTACCAAACCTGCCTGATTCCAGAAGTCAAGTCTGAGAGAAAGCCTGCCTATGGTTGTGGCACTGATAGCACATTTACTTACACGTTTGAGATGTGGGTGCGGGTGTAGGGTGGGGGGATGGTGTGTGGGGTGTGGGGTGGGGGTGTGGGGTGTGGGGTGGGGGTGTGAGATGGGGATGTAGGGTGTTGGGTGTTTGGTGTGGGGTGTGGGGTATGAGATGGGGGTGTGTGGTGTGTGGATGTGGGATTTGGGGTGTGAGATTTGGGGTGTGAGGTGTGGTGTGTGGGGTGTGGTATTGGGGTGGGGTTTAGGGTTTGGGGTGTGAGGTGTGGGAGTGGTGTAGGGTGCGGAGAGTGGGGTGTGGGATGTGGAATGTGGGATGTAAGGTTCAGGTGTGCGTGGTGTATAAAGTGTGAGGTGTGAGGTGTGGTGTGTAGTGTGTGGTGCGTCGGGTGTGAGGTGTGGGATGTGAGGTGTGGGTGTGAGGTGTGGGGTGGGGTGTTGGGTATGGGGTGTGAGGTGTGGGTGGGGTGTGACGTGTGAGTGTGGGGTGTGGGTGTGAGATGTGGGGTGTGGGTGTGAGGTATGGGATGTGATGTGTAGGTGTGAGGTGTGGAATGTGAGGTGGGGGTGTGAAGTCTGGGTGTGGGGTGTAGGATATGTGTGAGGTGTAGGGTGTGGGGTGTGGGATGTGGGGTGTGGCATGTGCGGTGCGTATGTGGGTGTGGAGTGGGGTTATAGGGTGGGGGTGTGGGAGTCGGATGTGGGTTGTGTGGTGTGGGGTGCGAGATCCGGGTGTGGGGTGTGGTGAGGGAGTGTGGGATCTTGCTGTCATGTGGGGTGTAGGGTGTGGGATGTGAGGTGTGGGGTGAGGGTGTGTGTGCCGGGTGTAGGGTGTGGAGTGTGGGGTGTGGGTGTGGGGTGAACAACGATTACACAGCTTTGCCCTATGAGACAGACCACACCATGCTACCCCTGCAGCCAATGCTTTGAAATAACTACATATCTATACATAGTTCTGAAGTCCAGAACCACTGAGCTGATCCAGAGGACTGTCAACAGGTAGGGATCGAGTACCATGGTCGTCATTGTTTTTTTCTAGACCTGAGACTTGACACCTGAAGAAGAAGAAGAAGAAGAAGAAGAAGAAGAAGAAGAAGAAGAAGAAGAAGA